TCGTGTCAGTGTCACCAGTCAACATTAGTTCTACTTGGTCATCAGCTATAAATATAATAAGTATTTTATTCATGTTCTATCAGCATGTATCCAAGCAGGGATGTAGTTATGGCAGGAGGGGGGTCACCCAGTCTTGAAGTTCTCTACCCAGCCTAAAGCTAAAATTTCACAGCTTTTTACCCACGTTTATTAATCATCTTGCATATCCTTAAAATCCACATATATTATTTAAAGTTTACCAATGTTGATTTGAATATATTTTAATTGCCATGTAAGTAAACATAGTATAATCTAAACATTTCTTCTTTATGATTTTCTTGTATAATACATATGCAGTTGTAGTATGCATGTTTCTAGAATGTGTGAGAGTACCTTGTTGTATGTAGGTTATTTAAACCTGAATGATGATCAAAAAGATTGAAATTAAAATCCTATAAAACAATAAAAATTATGATTAAGATAGTTACACTAAATACTGAAGAGATATTAAAGGTATAAACCAATTTACCTGTAGATGGAGATTCTAGTGTAGCAAAATCCTTATTACCTTTCCCAGTCCCCCTCAACCCAAGAGGGTCATTTTTTGAATCAATAATGAGATGTGTTGTTATGTTTCTCATAACGTCATCCATGTTATCTTTACAAACCCTGCCTCTATGCTCCAAGTCCGCAAATAATTCCCATCTGTCAGTGTTTTGTTCACAGCTGTAAAGTTTTGAGGTCTTCTTGACATCACTGTCTTTGAGATTCTCTAAAAACTTGATCAACTTTAGCCTGCTAGGTGCAAACTTTGATATAGCGACTGTCCTGGTATTAAAAGGTGTTCTCTCTGTCAATTTTCGTACTTCTGGTTCCATGCCAAATGGCCTAGTTACATTGATAGTATCATATAGTACTGCAGGATCTGCAGGACTCAGATGTCCAGAACTGCATACCAATTCAAACAATTCAATCACCTTGGTGGCAGCATATAGCTTATTAGGCTCAGTTACAAAGTCTCTGTACAAAACTTTCAGCATATTGATGTATCCATGGCGATCATACCATCCTGACATGGATGATAATATTTCTCTGAAATCATCATCAGAGATTCCTAAAAAAAAATATACAATTTCTTTTTATAAATGACTAGATCTCTGCAAGAGAAGAGTTATTGTACTGTTCAGGCAATGGCCAATTCAATTACTTTTTTATACCTCCTTGAAAATACTGTGCTGTAAATATCAACTTTTTATCAAAAGGCAATTTATGGTGCTCTTTTTTTATACCCATTTGTCATCAGAGTGTATGGTAGATATGCACAGTTGTAAATGTACAAATGCTATTAGAATTTTTTAAACTAAAAAAACAAAAAAATTAATACTTACAATAATAATAATAATCTTTTAAAAAAATTTATTCTTGGAGATTCAAGTGTATCGTATATATGTAGTGTAACAGTGTAATAAGTACAGTATAAGTACATTTTTTTAGCTAAGCAAATTTTTGGTGGGAAGAGGAACCATTCCTGGAAAAATTTCAGTTGTTAAGAAAAATCCAATTTTTATATATTTTATCAAGATTGATAAATATAATACAAAATTGCTAGTTTAGCTAAATTTAGACAATCCTAAACATGAAAACAATGTAAAATAAGAGTGAAATTTGATTTTTTTTTTTTTTGTGTTACACACAAAAAATAATCTCATTAGGGATGGTGCCAATTTTATTGTATTTCGTGTACCACGGTTTCCTGATCATTACTTGCGGTAACCGTGTAAACTATGTTACTGCAATTTTGTTTATGCAACCACACGCTGTTTTCGGTAATCCCGTTCACAAATTGACCAATGACTGTTGACTGAGCATCTAAGCATGATGATAATTACACAGCAAATGATTAGAACTTAATGCCACGGACCAATACTACCATGAAATATGCTATGGGTTGTAAAAAAAAAAAAAACACCGCCCATGGTTTTAACTTTTAAATATTTTAGCTGGGTTTTTCCTATAGTATTTACACCATTGTCGGCAAACAGAAATATAGTAATAGTAAATAATGCACTACTACTGTATAATAAAGTACAATTCTTCTCCTGTGTAAACACGCTACAGACAGACAGAGTGTGTACAGTGCAGGATTGTTGTATTTCATCATAGAAACATTAATTGTATAGCATATTAGTATTTATAAAACTTTATTATATCGTCCTAGTCAGCCTGAGAACGTTCACAGGAAAAATTCATAGTCAGGAAGCCCCGAGAACTTTTTCCATAGCCTCATATTTGTAGCTACAGTTCTTTCTTTCAGGTGCATTCCAAAGTCCAGGCCAAGCGATCAACAGGGAAAGCTGTATTAGCTATTGAATCTATTGCTCACACCCATCCGACTGTTGAAAGCACGTTTCTGTTGCATGGCTGACTTTCACAAGGAATTATAATTATATTGAGAAACTCCAGACTACGATAACGTGTTTATATATATACCCTTGCGTATCTAAAACATTTAGCACAGGGGAACTGATTGGGGAAAAAGATTTTGAGTGCGGGATGGAAAATGAAATATACCTAAATGGCAAACAAAAGTGAGGTGATTGTTAACTATAGCGTAATTTTTTGCTGTGGATAAATATTTCAAACATGATGGCCTTCTTCCGTGTGAGGACAACTGACAAGAAATAGAGCAAGGATTGTATTTAAGAATTTAAATAACAACGGATACTGATTAAAGGCGATGAAATAAATAATTCAGAATAAACAATGATGATAAAGGCCTGGGAAAAAAGAACGAAATTAATTATAAATAAATAATTTAGTCTGATCAAGTCTTATTTAAACCCCTATTTGTGATTTGGTTCTAACTATCCATTTTAATTCTTTTTTACGTCTATTGGAAAGGGATGAAAACTATTTTGAGGGGAATCTTTTTATAAGATTCTAAGGCGCAGGACAGTGAGACATTTTATACCTTGTTTTTAGCTTATTTATTTTATAAAAAATTGACGAAAGTGGGACATTAAAACTAAAATTTTGTTTTCTTAGGCCTACTGTATAACCAGAATGATTTTAATTGCACTTGTCAATTTCATTTAAAAAAGTCTCGCCTCATTCAGTAAACCCGAACTGGGCTAACGACATTGTTTCCAAAATTAATTAGCTGTTGATTGTATTGCTTACACCCCTCTCACCCCCCACCCCAGCCTTCCACGCTCAGGAGAGAAGCACATTAAAATGTAGGGTAAAATAATATAATTATTTTTAAAAACAAAGCTTTTCTAATGTATTCATCAAACTAAATCAATGAAAAATACTTCAAAGACACTTATAGGCCTATGTGGCTAAATTTCAATTATATTTTTTAAAATTGCATGTCAAACTTTCTACTGTAATTGGTGATCCGCTACACTAGCGGATCACCTCTTGTTATTGTCAGGATCATCATCATCTTTTTTTTCTTATTCTTCTTAATTCTTTCTTCCCTTTTCTGTTCGCACGATATCTCAAAAAATGCCACGAGTTACGCACAATCGCTGTCAACGAACATTTGGCTTGGTCTGGAATAGTCATGGTAAGCTTTTCAACGCGCTCAGTCATGCGTGACGTCATCTACGCGCAATTTTGCATTTTTACATTATCGATCATATCAGCCTAACCAATTGCCATTTCGAAATCGTATTAAGTGAGCACTAACTTCAGGTTAATGTTGAATGTACTGTACCTTAATTTTACACGAGGTGGTCAACAGACCCCATAAAAAAGAGGGGTAGATGAGTACATACAAAAAAAAAAAAAATTAATAAATATTAAAACAGGAGAGCTCAGTACCAGGGTAATTTTCTATTTAAATTCCAAGTAGCACTTTTCCCTGTGTCTATGCAAATACCACCCCAAACCCAGTTCAGCGCTTCGCACATCACATTCTTCCAGAATATTCTCTAGATCCACCCTGTGCACAAGGCTTGTAGAGGCATCGACCTGCATGATAGTAGTTTATGGAAGTAGCTAAAAATATCTTCAATTTGCAACTAGCAAATAAATGAATCAATAAACAGCATATCATTGATCGTCATACTAACAAAAGGACATGATGAAAAAAAACTAAACGGCAGACGATAAATTAATGACAAAACTCCATATCAAAATTGGTAGATTCGTGTACCGCATGTAGAAGAGAAGACGCGGTAGATGACATTGTAATTAGTCAAACAGAATGTTCACTAGATTTCGTTAAAATTTGAACATGACCACTCCTACCTAAGTGCCGCGTATACCGCAATGTTCTTCGATACATGAAGTACTGTACAATAAATTTGGCACCATACCTTAGAGAGGGTGCACTTCATTGACTGTATAAAGTATACACAAAAGTGAGAGCGTTCCAGCGGATGCGATCTACAACCTCTGAATTTGCCTAATAACGAAAATGTCTTCGAGAAAACGGTAATCTCATATGAGAAATAGTCTCTATTTCTCATTTTATTTATCCTTTTGGGTAAAAGTAAACTTTACGCCACTGTTTTTCCATGGTTTATAATAATTAGAGTAATGCATATGCATTTGTTCTAAAAAAAATCTTTTTTTAGTAAAATTTTGCCAGGAATGGGGCTTTAAGTATTAAAGGGGTAGTGCACAACAATACCTCCTTAGATGCACAACTTGTTAGGGTAAACTGACAATTATATATTAAAGACTGGCTTTAACCTGGGATGAAATCTTGGTGAAATGAGTGAAATCATTTTTGGCTATAGTTCACAAAATCTCATAACGGGGCATACAGCCTACAATAAACACACTCTAGAATAATATATAGGAATTTTTTTTTTTTTTTTAATAATATAATTGAAAAAGAACAAAAATGTGTAGGGGTAATCCATAATTTTCAACATTTTCAAAAGAGTTTTCATAAAAGAGTACTTATGCCTACACTTTCAAACCACCCCACCCCCCCAAAGTGTATGTTTAGTACTCTTTTGAAAATGTTGATAATATGGATGGCCCCTAAAATAAATTAAACTAAAGGGTAAATGATCTCTTTCGCATGTTTCCTATCCTTGTGGCGTATTGTATTAAAGCTAACGCGATTGATCGTCAGGGACAGTATTTAATCCGTCGTGAAAAACATTAAACATGTTTAATATTCTATGACGCGCCTTCCCCGACGCAAGCCATCGTGTCTGCGTTTAACTCACACAGAAAACAAATCGCATCGGGCTGCGTTGTACAACGCTGTCTGAGTTGGCCTTAAGTCAGCTACATTTTAGATATACACAACTGTACAGTTGGGCAAACACATATTCGTTCAATAGTTTCAACATTAAATGTACCTTGACTTGGCTGCTGGTGATGTGGGCTTGATGGTAAACTATCATCATTACCTGTAGAAATAAGATCATCAATAAACAATTTATTCAAACTTCTGCAGATAAGGTGCAGTAATGTATAGGTTTACATTATTGTTTTAATGATGACAGCCTCAATATATAGTAATAGTAAATTTATTAACCCACAAACACACAAGGATGAATTTTTCAGTATAATTGATTTTCACAACAAAATATAAAATGTATACCTTCGTTGGGTTGCTTGATTAAATCTGTTTTCTTAAGTTTTTTCGTTGGTCTTTTCTGTTCGATTTGTCTCTTTTTGGGGTTCATTTCTTGTTGACCATCTCTTTCTGATAGAAAGTTGTTTAAAATGTTAATAATACTTTACCATATCATAGAACAATATTCCACAAACTTTAGGACTGACAACCTAGTTAGAGAGGAATAGGAATTCTTTCCAAACCTGATGAGGTATTGCAATGAATAATCAGTACATTTTCTAATCATGTACGATTCGACGGAGACCCACTTTCGTTTCTCAATGTTGCTCTTAATAAGACTATGGAGGAGTGCATCATTAATTATAAAACTGCAAATAACAGAAGCGGTTTGCCACATGGGATTGGTTTGGTTTCCCAACCTTGAAATTTCTCTTTAATCTTTGAGCAAGCCACTTTATCTATATTGCTTCAGTCTACCAGGCTGTACCAGTGGGCAGAGACTTTCTGGGAGTAACCTGCGATGGACTATTGTCCCACCCAAAGAAAGCGTCATGCTCTTGTTCATTTAACACTACAGAATCTGGGAACAGGCTCCAGCCTTTAAGCCCCTAGTGGCTTAGTACTAATAATAGTATTATATAAATAAAATTAAAATTATTTTAGTGCCACCATCAAACTTTACATTGTTCTTGTTATAAGTGGGTTGAATGAAAAAATATCTAATTAGATATTCATTATTTTACAATGTTTATAATAGGTGAAATAATAAGAGACAGGTGCCAGGCCTCCCCACTTTTTGTGTTCCAGCACAAACATTTTAAGAATGCTGTAATGTCATTATTGTTATTTATTATTATTTATTATTATTATTATCATTATTATTATTTTTATTATTATTATTATTATTATTATTATTATTATTATTATTATTATTATTATTATTATTATATTTTTAAACTACTGTTAAGTATTTCTATAAAATTGTTTGAGTAGCAGCTAGCATCAATAGAAGTATAAGAAGGTAGTGCAACGGCATACCTACTGAAAATTTGAAATTACAGTGGCAAATACTACTTAATTTCCCAAATATGAGTATAGGGTATAAAGAAATAATGAGAGTCAAAATGTTTACACACATTTTCAACTTCATTAAAATGTTATAAGCTTGTTTCTGAACAATTCAGGGCACTTATTTAAACCATACAGTAGTTTATGTGGGACAGTGATGAAAGTTTCATGATTATTTAAATATTTGAAGCATTTTCATATTTTTATTTTTTCTGAAGTAAATCATAACTGAGAATAAACTCACCTTCTGGTGTGTCCCCTTCCATAATGACTCAGTAATAAATAAATTATCAACCTATAGGAGGAGTAAACAAATTAAAAAATGCAATTTTACTATACAGTAAACAATTGAATAATCTTGTAGATAGAGTGACATTTGAAAAACTGATCACTTTGTGAGGAGTGAACATGCTGAAGAGGCAGAAGTTCCAGCAAAGGATTGCAGAAACTGGACAACCTTTCTACATCAGGAAGCAAGTGCAGATGATGTATGATGCTGTCTGGTAGGTATGTAGGTAGGAACATTTAAAATAGCATTTCAAAGACTGTTGTTGTAAAGAGGCCAAAAGTGTTCTACAATAGACGGATTTAGCGACAGGGATCTAGTAGTGACATATCTCTGGGACGATAAAGCGTGATCAGTGTAAAAGTATAGGAAAAGAAAATCTGGTTTAATAGCAGTATAACATAAAATTGTTGAAAATAGTGTGTACAGTACAGTAGTATGAATTTTAGGGTATAATCAGCCTATACATTTTATTCTTTATAAAATTTTTATGATGCAATGTAGGCGTGAGACTTTAAAAGTGTCCTGCTCATGCCTGAGATTTGGTAGGCCTACCCTTGCGGCAAAAAAAATTAATGTCGTTAAGAATCAACATCAATCAAAATATATATCACTACAAATGATAAAAACTACACCTTGTAGGTTCACAGGGAGAGTTTCTATTACTTAGTGAGGTCCAAATGTGCTTTTAGACTCAACAAGATTGGCAGTCAAAATAACATTACGGTATATGAATAGGCAAATTATTATCTTTTTAAATTTTTGATCTGACGATCTACAGAAAGGGTTATGGGTGAGTTTGTTAGGGAGCGAGTTTGTTAGGGGACGAGTTTGTTAGGGGACGACTGTGTATAGTCAGAGGGGTGAGTTTCTTAGGGTGCGACTCTGTTAGGGTGAGTTTGTTATGGGGCGACTGTGTACAGTCAGGAGGCAGAGTTTGTTGGGGGCGAATTTGTAAGGGGCGAGTTTGTAAAGGGGAGAGTTTGTAAGTGGAGGGGAGACAAGATTGCAAGAAGTGAGTTTGCTAGGGGGCGAGTTGTCTGGTTCCCTAACTTAGGCATCGACACTGTTACATACACCAAGCCTATAGCTACTGTAGTAGGCTACGACTGACCAGTTCCACAAAATGTTAATAAAAGAAAGGTCTTGGCCTATAGGTAATCTACCTTCTATTATACCCGGGTCCACATTACCTGTAGGATATTTACGGTATCCGATAATTTCAGTCGCGTCTTCAATACGGTCGCGTTATTTTCGTTATGCATTTCGGTCGCGGAGTATGCCGCACCGACGGTGCGACCGCAAATCTGGAACAGATTTTTTATAAACACAAAACTTACATAAAACATTAGTTGACTAACAATTATTTGTATTACTGTACTATAATAATATGGTTTATGATTATTAAGCCTAATATTACGTGTATCACTTAGTGCTATTTTTCTTTTTTTACAGAAACAACGAAAATGTTACAAAGTCAACTTGGTTTGAGGGAAACCACCTTCCTGCCGTTTACAAAATATACTCACGCTATCAAATGACCTTGTTGCACTGAACCCGACAATGTTAAATTCCTTGTCGCACCTTAAAAAATCAGGTTGCAAATGCGACCAAATAACCCTCAATTTCCAGTCCTAATATTTTTTTTTTAAATACATTGTAAAATACTATAGTTTAAATGGAATGTACAAATACATATATTTTAAAGCCCCATTCCCGGCAAAATTTTAGTTGTTAAGAAAATTCTAATTTTTGTATAAAGATTTATAAATATAAATAATACGGAATTTCTAGTTTAACTAAATTTTGACATTCCTAAGCATAAAAAAAATGTAAAATAAGACTGAAATTTTATTCTTTGTCCACACAAAAAATAAATGCGGATGAATTTTTCATGTTTGATTTTCCAATAGGTCGTGCGAAGAAATGTAGGAGGCGCCGAAAACATTAGCCTATCCAACACTGCTAGGCTAGGCCCAGCCTTACCTCGATTTAGGTTCTGTTATCACACATAAAAACGGCCGACATGATATTTTTTGATGCTAGTATTGACACATTGTGAAATATAATATTTCATATGAATTATTTCAAATTTGTTAAAAAACTGATTCTGAGCGAGATTTTGAATACAGTATCTCAGGCCTACTCGAACTACCGCACTGTGCGAAATGCGAAGTACTAAAACTAATCCCATTAGAGAGGGCGCACTTTATTGACTGTATAAAGTATACACATAGAGATATAATAAGAATACTAGAGCGCTAACCGCAATGTATTCGATGTTCGAAATACGCAGAGCTGTGTGTGTGTACCATCCAAGATGGCTGCCATAGATTTAGCCAATCAAATTTCGCCTAAGCGCCATCGTTTGCAATTGCGCCCTCAATTTACACGGAAAGTTCAGTACAGCTAGTTATCCGTATGTTTGAAACTCAAGCGTTGCGGTGTTTGGGTGTAATGTACACGATTTTAATTTTCATTCCTTGGTACTTTATTTTTCAATAAGATGCTCCACTTGGCCTCGTTTTGGCTACGATAGTTTAATAATTTGTTATTACCATTACTCATTATCATTAATGAGACAATAGTCAGAGGGTTTATTAATGTGTAAAAATATGTATACTAAGCCTGAAGGTGGCGCTTTACTACGACGGCAATCTTGGATGGTACACATACATAACTATGCAATGCTTCGCCATCTTGTCAGCACTCTAGTTGTTTAATAGCTCTATGAGTATACATAAAAGCGAGAAAATCCAGCGGATGCGATCTACAACCTCCGAATTTGCCTAGTAACGAAGAATTTGTCGAGAAAATGGTAATAATCTATGAAAAATAGTCTTTATTTCTCTTTTTTTTTATTCTTTTGCATAAAACTAAAATTTATGCCAATATTTTTCTATGATTTATAATAATTAAAGTAATGCATATGCATCTATTCTAAAAAAAAATCTGTTTTTAGGGAAATTTTGCAGGGAATGGGGCTTTAATATTCTGATATAAAAGTATATTTGATTAAACAAATTAAATCATAATCGTAACAACATTCTCAGGCCTTTATTATGAATAATTCATAAATTGATAAATAAATAAGTAATCAAAGACACTAGGTTACAAACTCAACATTTTATTTTGCACTACAGACTGTTTCATGAGGGCACAGCCTCAATAATCAGGTGCTCGGCTGTGAATGAAGCTTACTCGGAATAATGAAGTACTGTAGATAAAGATGATAAAAACTGTTTATAAAGAATATGCTATGTTAATTAGTACTGGACTCTCTTTTCTTTAATAGATGGATCTGAGATAGGCTATTGTTATTTAAGTTTGGTATCTTAGTAGGAACTTTCTTCTATGTCTGCATGCACTAACTGATTCGTTTCTTCGGTTAAGTGTACTAGCTTCCGGATTGCATATAATGTGATATTTCTCCTGCAGGCATAGGTTGCATCGTTTATTAACATTAGAGTATGGCTTGCATTTAATTAGTATTCGCCATTGTATTTTATGCTTTACATTGCTGTCTTTAAGTTTCCAAACATATTGGCTAAGCGTGGTACTATTTCTATATTCAACATTCCGGAATGAACAAGTATGCGCGTTATACCTACTTTTAAAAGTATTTTCGGTAAGACAGACGTACGTCTCAACCTTATTGTTTTCATCCCTTGTGATAGTAGCCTGATAAACTACACCACTGGTTGATAAATTGATAAATACAAATATGTACTTGACTTTTCACTTCTGAATTTGTAAGAAAAAGAACATGCTAAAATTATATTCAAATTGTAATTAATAACAATCGTAAAAAAACTTAAAACAACAATCATACTAAAAAAAAACAAAGAAAATTAGGCCTATGATAGTCAAGCATCGTAAAAAAAAAGACATAATAAATAAAATTAATAACTAGTCTGAAACACACGCACTAAAATCAAAGAACTTAAATAGCAGAAGAATGAGCTGCTCTGTGTACTTGCATTAAAATCGATGGAGCATTCGCCCTCCTGCGGAGAAGGTAAAATTTGAACATTTTACTAAGCGGAGATACTAAAGGAAACAAACTAACAAGAGCAGCGCCTTTATTATTACTATATAGCGCCGCCGTGCAGATGAGGTAAAATTGCTCTCCGTGTACCCACAATGCCTTTTGAACGGATGTTCCACTATATGGGGAAGCTGCTCTATCTTCTGCTATTTATTATCTTTGCCGAAATGCATAACAATACGGCGCGACCGAAATAAAGGCGCGACCGAAATGATCTGTATTCGAATATTTTTACTAGCCTAGGCCTAGCAGTAGCTAGACAGTCGTTCAATAGATATAGGCCTACAAATTGATTGAAAACATACAAATTAGAATTACAATATGTGTTTATACATCGCAGCCAAAAAAGTCCTACGACCAGTAGTAAGAAACCCAGTAGTAAGATAGGCCTAGCTAGGTAGAAGCCTAGCTGGACTAGGTTTTATATACTCACAATTGCTATAGTATTAGTAGTACTGTAGCGAATGACGTCCGGTTCGGCCGTACACTTGTTCGGCCGTAATGTATTTGTATGGAACGCCAAATAGGCACAGAGCTGTGCGTATGCTATGTGTGTGTGGTTAACAATAATCTCCCTATTGTAATCTATTTGTCTCTTATACACATCTAGATGTGTATAAGAGCCAGACAGAAACTCTTTGATGTTAAAACTATAGAGGGTGTCTTCCCACGTATGAATGAAATCTACATGAAGCTTGGTGAAACCCATAATGTGATGCACACATTAAAAGAGCTTTTAGGACTTAGTGAGTTTTCATTCTTTTACAACTTAAAAATTTTAAACAATATAGAACATTCAGAATTGAGGTGTATGTTGATAGTTGCCTTCCATTCCCATGGTCCATGGCTTCAAATCTTGCAATACCATGGATTTTCTCCAAAACAGTTCCACTTCTCCACCCCTGTAATACTACTATAAAAGTGTGTGATTAAGCGCTGCATCAAAGCTAATCATGAGTTTGATAATTCAGGATGTTTTTCAATAGATGTGGCAGGAATATTGCTGGATAACATGAAACAAATATGCCAACATATAGGATTGACACTTGAGTTAAAGATTTAAATAATTTTTAACATTATTTCTGTTGTGTCTCAAGTCAGATGTTTAAACTACCATATATATTTATGGCAAGTGAAAGAAACAAGTCCAAAGTAGTGGTAAATGCTATTGGTAAATTGTGTGAAATCCAAAGAGTTAATGGTGGCTCACATAAAAAAATTTAGACATTTTAATGTATTAATAGGCATTTTCTTTTATTGTTACATATCTTCTTCAATGATTATATCGACTATACGGTAGCATTATTGTAATACAAAATATATAAAATTTTGTTTGATTATTAACATATATAAATGCATAATAATGTACATTCGTACAGTTTCAAATATACTGTAGGCCTACAGTACAGTATATTTCCGACGAAATATACTAGGCCTATATAGCAATAGATTAACCACACACACAAAATAGTAAATTCCATAGATGATAAAACGAAATATTGTATTTTGGAATATAACTAATTAATCTCGCATTATGTAGACCTATGTATAATAAGCGTAATTATTATATACTCTACGTTTCATTCCAGAAAAAGTGATTGGTTACCGTATTTAAAATATCTTATACACTAACACGATTATATAAGTAGGCCATATAAAAATAGTAGTTATTAATGATAAATCAAATTTATCATATTTATCATATAAACTGAATTATATATTTTTTATTCTACATATTTATTTTTGGTTTTCAGGTATGTTCCAGTTGGTAAAAGGATCCCTTTTATTAACTGTTCTGCATTCATAGCGTCGTCAGGTCAGGCACCACCACCAAGCAGGTTTCTCTGGTCTTCGTGGTCATGTCTGCCTGGAAGATGGTTGATTATTGGTTTAGCAGGATATTAATCAACATGTTAAAATGCAACTATGTAAATCGTATCAATAATATTAACATAAACATCGATAGATACTCTATAAAAATCATAAAATCCATTGGTTTGATTATCAGCATAATAACATAATACTGTAATGTTAAATCATTACAAGTATTAGTATTATACTAACTTGCAAAACAACATTATAACACAAACGTAATAAAATCCACTGTTCTCCCACAAGAAATCATGGATACAGTAGCAATAGATTACAATAGGGAGATTACTATTAACCACACACACGTAGCATACGCACAGCTCTGTGCCTATTTGGCGTTCCATACAAATATATTACGGCCGAACAAGTGTACGGCCGAACCGGACGTCATTCAGTATTAGTAGTACTGTAGCTAGGTAGGCTATGTTTCCTGGTTTCCTGACTAGCTAGCAGCTAGGCCTAGGCTAGGCCTACTAACTTAGTAACTAAGCTAAGAAGCCTAGCTAGGCCTATTTGAAGTTGGAAATAACAGCAATTCGAGAAAAAAACCGACCTTTAAAACTTAGGACCTAGACCTAGGCCAACCGTAAGTGTTTATCTCAGTTAGAAAAAAAAAAGCAGGTAAGCAACAATAGTAAATTTCTTTTTAACCAAGAAACAAAACAGGTTTCAAACAAGAAATGCTACCACCACAACATCATAATCACACACAGTCCGAAGGCCTCCTATCCTATCCTAGACATTTCCGCTATGGAACGCCGTTACTGCCTTTGGTGGTTCTTTTCCGTTCGGCGCATTTGCTATTCGGCCCTTTTAACATTACGTTCGGTGCTTTTACATTACGTTCGGTGCCTTTACATTACGCTCGGTGCTTTTTACATTACGTTCGGTGCTTTTAACATTACGTTCGGTGCTTTTACATTACGTTCGGTGCCTTTACATTACGTTCGGTGCTTTTAACATTACGTTCGGTGCTTTTAACATTACGTTCGGTGCTTTTACATTACGTTCGGTGCTTTGAACATTACGTTCGGTGCTTTTAACATTACGTTCGGTGCTTTTGCTTCGGCTCTTTTATCATTTGGTGCTTTTACCTTTCGGCCCTTTCATCATTACGTACGGTTCTTTTATCATTCGGTGCTTTCATGACCTTTGAAATCGGGTCAAGTGAAAAAAATCAACGGCTGTGGGAATGAGCCTAGTGGAAAACAAAGCATATTCGACATGTGATTATTTTAGTGATAAAATTAATAACTAACGAAAACAAAAATGTCTCGATCAATCAAAACAGTATTAGAAGACCTGGATCTACATTTTCTTGTCCCTAAGTTTGAAACGGAAAGGGTATGTTCTAGTTTTTTTCCACATGATTTTGGTGGTATATTAAGGCAAATAGAAATATAAGATTATCACTATAGACCTAGTATTGAAAACAAAAATAACTAGGGGGACTCTTCTTTATTCCGGATATGAAGATGCAAGCTTATTTAAATAAAAGAAACGTAATTATTTAATTAACTAATTACCGGTAACCAAACGATTCCAAACAAGTCCAATCCCATTTTTGGCTTACATGATAAATAAAAGTTAAACTCAATATTTTCCCCCTCCAGTTGATTGATTTATTTTCCCCTCCCTTTACTGTCCGCTCGTTTTACAAATGCTCCTTCCGTGGTTATCTCGTATTTTGATTTTGATTTTCTTTTGTCTTTTTATTTTGTCTACATTTTTAATATTATATAATATATATTTTATTCTTACTTCTTAATTCATACGCAATATACGCAATTCAGCCTTTGTTGCTGCTATGTATGTTTTTGATGTTGAATTTTTAATAAATACCTCAAATAAATAATAAAAACTTAGCATTTATATTACAACAAAGATACACATTTGCAGGGGTCCCAAGTTGGAAAAAGGCAATTCGTGAAGGTTTGCGAAACTTAGTCACGTGGTACACACCGTCCATTTTGTGTCATGATCTTCCCGATGAACACATGCAAAGTATATGAGTTACGTACACTGCATATTAATTTCACACACTTAATTGGGTTTACAATTATATTATTTTATAATTAACATCACTTAGTATGGACAGCGTATTAGAATTCATATATAATCGAATATTTGCGCAAGTGCGTGCTCGGGTAAATTCCGTGCTCGCGTAAATTATTGGAATGAATTGGAATTTTTTCAATTAACTAATTACCGGTAACCAAACGATTCCAAACAAGTCCAATCCCATTTTTGGCTTACATGATAAATAAAAGTTAAACTCAATATTTTCCCCCTCCAGTTGATTGATTTATTTTCCCCTCCCTTTACTGTCCGCTCGTTTTACAAATGCTCCTTCCGTGGTTATCTCGTATTTTGATTTTTATTTTCTTTTGTCTTTTTATTTTGTCTACATTTTTAATATTATATAATATATATTTTATTCTTACTTCTTAATTCATACGCAATATACGCAATTCAGCCTTTGTTGCTGCTATGTATGTTTTTGATGTTGAATTTTTAATAAATACCTCAAATAAATAATAAAACTTAGCATTTATATTACAACAAAGATACACATTTGCAGGGGTCCCAAGTTGGAAAAAGGCAATTCGTGAAGCAGGGGTGGAGCCAGTGCAGTGGGAGGGTACAGGGGGAACACCCATCTCTTGGGGAGAAAATCATGATAGTATATATATTTAATATATATGTATAATATAGGCCTATATATATTATATATAAATCTAACGGAGAGTTAAATAGGCAATTTAACCATTAGGATGCGTACCAGTACTTAAGTACAAATAGTGTGAATGTCACTCCAAAAATGACATGGCAATTTTATAATTACTACGGTATAACTTTATTTTGGAAACGACGCTTTTAAAACAGCAGACACGCTCTTGCAGTGTGTTCATAAAAGTAACATACTGTACAGCCATAATACAATATTAAAACAGAGACTTTTAATAAAATAATATACGTTAGACAATTACACAAGTTGAATATATCACAGATCCTTTATGTCATTTAACACTTACAATTCATACATTTACAGCAAAGCAGAATTTACCGTATATATTGCGGCCAATTGACCTATACTATTTTAATATTTATAAATAATAAATAATAATAATCAAATTAATAACATAAGATTTGTATAGGGCTCGCTCATATTCTAATTTAAAGAGCAACAATCATATACCCTATAATACGGATTTTAATTACATTTTGATATACATATTTAATTAATTTTTGCTGGTCTTACATATCATTTATTTGCAAAAATAACAGAAGCTACTTAAGGGTCTATATGGCAGGATTGTCTAATTGAAGAATGCTTGCCATCGAAGGGCTCTCTTGGTCTATCGGAGAGGATTAAAGAACTGCTCAAAAATATTAAATTATTACAGTATTTATAATATGAAATTGGATATAAAGTAGTAAAATCATTAAAAAAATCTATAGAGTTACATGAAATTCGACTGCTAAAAAGATTAAAGCCCCATTCCTGGCATAATTTCAGTTTTTAAGAAAAAACTAATTTTTGTATAATGTTTTAAAGATTTATAAATATAATACGGAATTGCTAGTTTAACTAAGAATGAAAAAAATGTAAAATAAGACTGAAATTTGATTTTTTTTTTTGTGTTCCACACAAAAAATAAATGCGAATGAATTTTTCTTGTTTGATTTTGCGATAGGTCGTGAGAAGAAATACCGTAGGCGCCGAAAACATTAGCCTATCCAACGCTGCTAGGCTAGGCCTAGCCTTACCTCGATTTAGGTTCTGATATCACACATAAAAACGGCCGACATGATATTTTCCGTGATATTTTCTGTTGCTAGTATTGACACTTGTGAAATATAATATTTCATAGGAATTATTTCAAATTTGTTAAAAAACTGATTCTGACTGAGATTTTGACACTTAAACAAACATATCTCAGCCTAAACGAACGACTGCATTGTGCGAAATGCGAAGTACAAAAAAACTAATCTCATTAGAGAGGGCGCACTTTATTGACTGTATAAAGTATACATAAAAGCGAGAGTATTCCCAGTGGATGCGATCTACAACCTCTGAATTTGCCTAGTAACGATGAATTCGTCGAGGAAATGGTAATATTTTATGAGAAATAGTCAGTATTTCTCATTTTTTTAATTCTTTTGCGTAAAACTAAAATTCATGCCAATATTTTTCCATGATTTATAATAATTGGAGTAATGCAAATGCATATTTTCTATAAAAAAAAAGTCAGTTTTTAGTGAAATTTTGCCGGGAATGGGGCTTTAAATGGAATTAAAATATACGTGGAGGCCGCTAACTGTATTATACAATATTATACACAGAAACGCACATCATGTTAGACACAGAACGCATCGCGTATGACACAAAATGGCTTCTAAATTCTCAATGTCGCAACTCTTTCTATCTATGGTTCTGCCCGCCCCGCCCCGTGGGCGCCTCTGTACACTGTACATTGCTAAAAAAAAAAGGTCCCACAAACCCACAGTGTAAAAGCATACGCAAACACATGCGTTTGTTGTGGGACACAACCACTATTAGGGCCTACTGGGGGAACATTACAGTCGTGTGCCTCTAGGGGGGCACGCGCGTTTTCTGGCCATGCTCTGATTGAAGGTTGTTAAGTTTTAATATTTAATTTTGATTTTTTTTTATTATCTTTACTTTTCTTTGTTTATTGGCAAATCTTTTTATTTAATTTGTGTTTATATTGAAAATTGGAGTCGGAGGGGCACACCATCCGGTGATAGTAGTTTTTGTACCGCTTTTGCCACTCCTTAGCCCTCCTCTTTCTTTATTGATTTTGTTGTAGGCTACTGTGCTGAAAGGAAGAAAATAAAATAAGTTTGATCTCGTACGTCCAAGGTCCATGAATCCCAAATACGTTAAATCCATCTTTTTGGGAAAAACCAACTTTCTTTTGTCAGATGAAAGGTCAAGTAAAAGCCATAAAAAATATTGCATAATTACCAACCTGAGAGATTAAATGCGTAACTAAACCCAGTTGGCTGGTCTGCCAAGGCCCCCGGTCCCTGGCAGCCCCCAGCTCCGCCCATGGACGGCGAATGCCAGTCACATACGCGCCAATTGGTCAAAGACAAAAATTTTGTCGGTGCATTGATTCTGGAATGAGATAATGAAAGTTCTCTAATGACTCAAGTTTCTGCATGATGTTTTTATAGCTGCGTTAATAAAACAAATTTCTTCAAAATGTTGAATACATTTTCAACCGACCGAAAGGTCCACTGATTAATCTCAGGATACAGGATTTAGCCGCAAGGGAGGGCGCAAAAGTAACGATGGATGACCAATCGAGGTGAGATTTGTTGAAATGGTACGCTTTTTACAGGGCATCATACAACAAAGAAAGGCATACTGTATTATTTAGAAG